GTAACTTAAAATAATGAATGTGTGTGGGTAAAACAGCTTCCTGGCTGCAGGAGAAGTTCACCTGCTGGGACAGGTGAAGCTACACAAGCGTGCTTGTTGGTTTCTGCGGGTTCTTCAGGACACAGCAGGTGCCGCCGTTAAATCCTCGCCCAGAAAGTTAGTCTCCTGTCTGAGCTGCTGTGTTTTTCTTTCCTACAGTGCTCCAGGTGGGACTGTGCCTGTACCTGCCAGGTTCCTGACTGCGACTCCTGCAACTGTTTATGCTTCGAGATCAGGATGAAGTAGGAGGCGAGGATGGAGGTGCTCATCCACCGAACTAATTTTATACTTGTTATAGCATTTACAGCGGAGATGGAGGTGGCTACACACAGAACCGGCCTTACACCTTCTCTTCTGAGTCATTCACTGACTTTTTCTCTTTGACTTTTTGAGACTGAACATTTTTCTTTCATTGCCAGAGAATGGGTTGCCTTGCCACTGATAGGCTAACCGGCAGCTGTATGCTAATATATTTCTTCTGTAAATGTAGCTCCATAATCACTATGGTTGGCTGGCCTTTTCTATACACTAATTTAAGAGACTACCCACCACCACCATCACATATCCTCCTCTACATTTACTATAATTACTGCATTTGGACCATCTGTGTGTTCATCTGAGTAGCTGCATCGATCTTACTCGGATCACACGGAGCTGACTGAATGGGCAGGTTGTCGCTTCCTTCCTGATCAAGGTCTGCCCTTGGTGGATTGTGATAATGTCGACTGTAGGTCTCTAAAACGGTGCCATTATCCCCGAGCAGCGGGTCTTGGATTAAAAGCATCAACGCCAAAAGAGACCTTGTGCCTTATGAAACGGCCTGAGGTCACGCCGAGCTGATGTCTGTTTTGCTGAAAGTACCTTCAGTACCTTGTTTTTGACAAATGTTTTATTAAATCCACATTTACACCACAGAAGCTTCTTCTTGTTTTATCTCCTCCCACTAAAACAAAGTTACAGCTGAGTTTGCACACAGTGCCATATGTACATGAGCATGTTCAGGGATTGTAATGTTTATGTTTCCAGGACAGTACTGCAAACAGGAAGGATTTCCACGTCATCTCAAAGCAATAAAACAGACACATGTTGTGTTTACCCCACAATTTTTTATTCTTTCATCCCTCATATCAAACATTTGTTTTCCACATGTAAATTCTTTATGTCATTTTATCTGTTTAGCGGATATTTGATGTCTTCTGCTCACTAAGATTTGTAGTCAACCTCTCCATCAGGTGTTCCAGATGTTTGTGCTGATGATTCGTCCAGTAGAATGTATGATTTGATCCTCCACAGCTTCACCACTGAGCTTTCTTTAGATAACCTGTTAAGAATCAAGTCAAATTTTTGCAGGCACAGCTTTAAGACTGAAAGTCTCAAGGTCGAGGCTTGTTCACATTCATTTGTGTCCGCAACATCATGTAAATCAGGTCAGACTCTCTACAGGAAGAGTTGGCGACAAAGGGTGAGGCTGAGAAGGTGGAAGATGGCAAAATGTGTAGGCCTGAGCCGCTGGTGTCAAACACACTGAGTCATTTGTAGTGGTGGTATAGGTGCTGCTGGTAG